AGTGAAAAATATAAAATAAAAACTCTATAACAGACACTCCGAAAAACCGCTCACGTAAATATTATTTTGTTTTATGACAGTGGAAATAAAACGTCTGGACCCCCTGCTCCATCAACGTATGTGACTCACTGTACCATTTTTTTACTGTCTCCTTATCGTAAACGTTTAGTGAACAGTGTCTGATTATATTTTTCTGTGTGTGTTTTATCTTCAGCTTGTGCTGTGGAGCAGCTTATGCGGGGAACTGCCTGAATTTGTGAACTTTGGGAGAAATATTTTGTTTCACTTGTGGACTGATTTTTTGGACTAAATACACTTGGGACTCTTTAATATTCTGTGTGTTTCTTCTGTACTGTTGTCATTCACCTTTTAAGAATAACGGTTTATCTTTTATATATTTATAAGTACTTGTGTGACGGTACAATAGTTCACAAACCTTTAATATCCCACTTGTCATGAGGGATACCTGGCTGGCACCCCTATAAAACCACAACCCCTAATAATAACTATACACTACCACCATATCCCCCAAACCTACAAACCTTTACAACATTCTACAACATGTATGGACATGTTTTAACATGTGTTCTATAATCTTTTTGTGTTTTAATTGTTGACTCTCTGATCTGTGTTGGTGATTTCAATGGTTTTGTTAAGTTCTCTGAGATGACTTATGTTGGCTATACGTGTCTGAGGTCCTGACCTGCAGTGTGGGGGCTCCCCAGGGGACAGTCCTTGCACCGTTCCTCTTCACCCTCTACACTGCGGACTTCAGACACAACACAGACGGTTGTGTTCTACAGAAGTTCTCTGACGACTCTGCCATCATCGGACGCAGCTCCGAGGACGATGACACAGAGTACAGAGGAGTTATACAGGACTTTGTGGACTGGTGTCAGCGGAACCACCTCCTCATCAACGCGGGGAAGACCAAGGAGATGGTGGTGGATTTCCGTAGACGCCACTCTGCCGCTCCAGCCCCAGTGAACATCCAGGGAAAGGGAATTGAGAGAGTGGACTCTTACAAGTACCTGGGTGTTCATCTGAACCACAAACTGGACTGGACTCATAACACAGACGCCCTCTTCAAGAAGGGCCAGAGCCGCCTCTACCTGCTGAGGAGGCTCAGGTCTTTTGGAGTGCAGGGGCCACTCCTGAAGACCTTCTATGACTCTGTGGTGGCATCAGCCTCTTGTACGGTGTGGTCTGCTGGAGCTGCAGCATCACAGAGAGGGACAGGAAGAAGCTGGACAAGGTCATCAGGAAGTCCAGCTCAGTCCTGGGCTGTTCCCTGGACACAGTGCAGCAGGTGGGGGACAGGAGGGTCCTGAGCAAACTAACATCTATGCTGGACCATGACTGTCACCCCCTGCAGGACACTCTCTCTGCTCTGGAGAGCAGCTTCAGTGACAGATTAATTCACCCTCGCTGTGTGAAGGAGAGGTTCCGCAGGTCTTTCCTTCCTGCTGCTGTCAGACTGTACAACGAGAAGGTGTAACAGGAACTGCTGAGTCTGCACAAGTGTCACTGATAATTCACTAGTAACTTTGTCACTAGTCACTTTACCTGTTATCAGTACTACTACAGTACTACATATGATATTTACTGTTATCAGTATTACTGTATTATTTCATATCTGATAATTCTGCCTTCCACCGTCACTTTACCTGTTGATATCTTACTGCATTATTCATATCCATCTGATAATTCTCCCATTCAAGTCACTTTACCTGTTGATATACTTTCTGATGTTTATTCTGCTCATATTCATATTCTCATATTCTCCGCTGCTAATGTATAATATAGACATCTGTAAATACTCCGAACCAAGTACAATTATATCCCAGAGTTTATCTAATTTTATTTTATTTTATTTTATCTTAAATTTATTGTCTATTATCTTAAATAATAGACTTTGATGTGTGCAATGTGAGTGCTCTTATTTCCTTTCTCTGCTGTAATGTGCAACGATGACACTGACATTTCTCCACTGTGAGACTATCCATCCATCCATTTTCTTCCCCTTAATCCATTTCTGGGTTGGGGGGGGTGGCAGCCAGAGCTGCACCCAGGACACATGGCACCAGCCCCTCACTGATCCTCCTGCAGGTGGTGAGTCCACAGGAGCTGAGATCTTTCAGTTGGGGCTTTGGGCAAAGTAGGGTTAAGTGTCTTGCCCAAGGACACAACGACAGCAGTCATCAGTGGGAGTCGTGAAGTAGGTCTTATGGTGGGCTCAAACCCACGACCTTCAGGCCCAAAGGCCAATGCTACTTGCCACTGTGAGACTAATAAAGGTTTATCTTATCGTATCTTATACAAGAATAAATTGTATTGTATTGTATTGTAGCTTGATTCTCATTGGTCCATGGCATTGACATTACGGCCACAACAACGCTATGAATTCAACAACAAATTCAGATTAAAAAACATTGAACTAAAGGCTGTAATGTAACAAAATAGGTAAAAATCCAAGGGGGTGAATACTTTTGCAAGGTACTGTATATTAAAATGTCCCGGTTTTTCATTTTGAACCCTAGTCCTTTGGGCAAGACACTTTACCCCACTTTGCCTATAAGGAGCGCATAAGTAACCGCACGCTGCATACCTTGATGTGATGTGTGTATAGGTTGGTTTAGGTACTTTTTTATTTTCATGAAAATGCATAGTTGTACAAGTTTCAAGTAACACTTTTTTTGTTTCTACTCATTCAAACATCTCCATGATCCGAAAGTATCATAAGTGTATATGTGTGAACGACTATTCATGGAACCGAATTGTCCATTGTGAGATCAATAAAGTATATCTTTATATATATTTGTATATCTGCAGGGCTGGACTGGGACAAAAAAACGGCCCGGGCATGTTTTCCTTTTTAGCGGCCCAGGCAACTCAAAAGGTTGAAGGAGCCATATTTGACAAAAAAACTAAAAACAACATCTGTCTGGAGCCGCAAAAAAAAAAAAAACAGCGTTGTATAAGGCTCATATGAAGGTAACAGGGGCTGAAGCTGTATTAGCTACATTAGCTACCTTAGCTACATTAGCCATATTAGCTATATTAGCCTAATATCTAAATGACAAAGTAAAGGCTAAACACATAAAAACCATTCGTGATTATCAAATGTGTGTTTTCACTGCAACGTGTCCTGGAGAGAATGACGCACCACGTGACAACTCTGCTTTAAGTTTAACCTTCATGCAATTGTACAAATACAGTAAATAAATCTGCTTTTTGGCTCAGAGTTCACCTGCATCACTGTCTGTTCATATCCATCACAGGCTGAAGTTTGCTGGAGCTGAATGTCCTTAATGGCCTTTTCTTTCACTGTCTTTGCGAAGGTTTTTGAAGTCTGAAAATAGGTGCTCTGACTTTATGATGAATGAATCCTTCAGTGAACGGTGTTTAAAGCTTCATTGTTCCTCCTGTTGCAACAAAACTTTTCATTACATCGCAAACATGAAGCAGTCCTTCCTCATTGACTGAAAGCAAATGTTCATTCTCATTCTTAGTCCAGTTTTATCGACTCTCTCTCTTTATCTTTGGGATCCATGCGCACACACAGTCTAGGGGCACTAAAGGTTGCCGACCCCTGGTTTATACAGTATGTGGAAGCAAATACTGTAGAGCAGCCATTCCCAAACTCAGTAACACCGAGGCCCCCTTAAAAATCTGACGGGTCTGCGTGGCCCCCCAAAATAATAAACAAGAAGACAACATTAAGAATAGGCTCTTCTGGTTATTTTATTTTGGGGAAATAGCCTCTGCTACAAACATTGTAATACAAAAATGATTACAGTGGATTATTCAAGTCAAATAATGAACACAAATATTTTAATATTACAAACAAAACATTATAAATTTAACATTAAATAATTATATTATTTTTTTATGACCTCCCGCGGCCCCCCTGCAGTACCCTCGCGGCCCACCAGGGGGCCGCGGACCCCACTTTGGGAGACACTGCTGTAGAGGATCAGGATGTCTGCAGTTTCAACAATAACATAAAGTACAATAGTCTACATTAAACAGAGTAATGAACATGTCTCAGAGTGAGGGAGGTGGGCACAGACAACACTATTGTTTGTTACAGGGATGAGAATTGGTAAAAATGTCTGAAATGCATAATGTCAGCCATTGGCTGGCTCTAAATCTGTTTAATCTGTTCACAACATTTTACTTTTGGGCTCAAACATGAACTTTTAATGCAATGGAAAATGTAAGTACCCGAGCTTTAATTTAGAGGAGAGGGGAGACGCGGACTGTTTTCTGCAGCGGTGTATTTATTGGGTGCACAAATTACGAAAAGACATGCATGGTCCTGTGCGCGTTTATGGTCTTGGGTACATGGTCACGTTGCGGCTACGCGCTCACCGTGTTGTGTTGTGAGCGGTTCCTGCGTCCAGCTCAGAGCCGCTGGATGCGGGAACACTGCGGCCGCTGAGGTGGTGGAATCCCGTTCGAGTACATACAGCAGGTGCCCCGCTGATACGCGCGCTCCCCTCAAACAGTTCTTAACGGATTCACACTTTTCACAAACATGTGTTTTGTATGAGGCAGACAGACCGGCCCAAATATGGGCATCGGCCCTTCGGGCATTGCCCGGTACGCCCGATGGCTAGTCCAGCCCTGTATATCTGTAAGGGCAGCTGCTCTTACAGTCACAAGATGGCCGCCGCTGTGTCCATGGCGACAGTATCCCTCCAGATTCATATTTGTGCGCATGCGCAAGTTCGTTTCTGTTGTTGCTGCGGACGGGGAGCTCCAGAAACGAAGACAATTCTTCACGAGCCACAAGCACGAAGGGAGCTAAAGGAGCTAACAGCAGAGAGCTAACGGGAGGGGGGTTACACATGGATCTACAATAATATCGGGCTAACAGGAGGGGGCTGAGAGCTAATAAAGCTAACTACAGAGACTGATAACATAACAGCTGGAGGTGTAGCCACAACAGGCTAACAGGAGCTAACAGGAGCTAACAGGAGCTAACCCAGATGAACATGGCAGAAGTGAAACTGGAGGAAGACTCTGAGCTCAGGGACATAAAGGAGGAACCACAGGACCCTGAGTAAGACACACACACACATTTTTCTGCTGACAAATACTCGATTTTGACATTTTAATTGAAAAAAGGCTATAACTTAAGTGTTAAGAAAAAGACTTTCTGTAAATTAGAAAAATATTAAGGAAGGCCCAAAGTTTATGTAGAGAATAAGTGTATCCATCTAATTTGCATATTATGACGTCATATGGCGTTGGAAATTGTGGATTATAGAATCTTCATAAAATATTTGTATTTTTTTAACTCAGACATATAAATCACTAGGACATGAACACACAAAGAGAACTCACACTGTAACATGCTAAATGTTCAGGGAAATAGTAAAAAATAAAAATCATGACTTCTGTGAGCAGTCTGCGTCTCCCCCTCTCTCTCTCTCTCTCTCTCTCTCTCTCCTCCCCCGCTCTCTCTCTCGTCTCCCCTCTCTCTCGTCTCCCCTCTCTCTCTTTCCTCTCCCCGCTCTCTCCCTCTTCTCCCCTGCTCTCTCCCTCTTCTCCCCCGCTCTCTCTCTCGTCTCCCCTCTCTCTCTTTCCTCTCCCCGCTCTCTCCCTCTTCTCCCCCGCTCTCTCTCTCGTCTCCCCTCTCTCTCTTTCCTCTCCCCGCTCTCTCTTTCGTCTACCCCGCTCTCTCCCTCTTCTCCCCCGCTCTCTCTCTCGTCTCCCCTCTCTCTCTTTCCTCTCCCCGCTCTCTCTTTCGTCTACCCCGCTCTCGTCTCCCCCACTCTCTCTCTCGTCTCCCCTCTCTCTCTTTCCTCTCCCCGCTCTCTCCCTCTTCTCCCCCGCTCTCTCTCTCGTCTCCCCTCTCTCTCTTTCCTCTCCCCGCTCTCTCTTTCGTCTACCCCGCTCTCGTCTCCCCCACTCTCTCTCTCGTCTCCCCTCTCTCTCTTTCCTCTCCCCGCTCTCTCCCTCTTCTCCCCCGCTCTCTCTCTCGTCTCCCCTCTCTCTCTTTCCTCTCCCCGCTCTCTCTTTCCTCTCCCCGCTCTCTCTCTCGTCTCCCCCGCTCTCTCTCTCGTCTCCCCTCTCTCTCTTTCCTCTCCCCGCTCTCTCTTTCGTCTACCCCGCTCTCTCCCTCTTCTCCCCCGCTCTCTCTCTCGTCTCCCCTCTCTCTCTTTCCTCTCCCCGCTCTCTCTTTAGTCTACCCCGCTCTCGTCTCCCCCACTCTCTCTCTCGTCTCCCCCGCTCTCTCTCTCGTCTCCCCCGCTCTCTCTCTCGTCTCCCCCTCTCTCTCTCTCTCTCTCTCTCTCCTCCCCCGCTCTCTCTCTCGTCTCCCCTCTCTTTCCTCTCCCCGCTCTCTTTCGTCTACCCCGCTCTCTCCCTCTTCTCCCCCGCTCTCTCTCTCGTCTCCCCTCTCTCTCTTTCCTCTCCCCGCTCTCTCCCTCTTCTCCCCCGCTCTCTCTCTCGTCTCCCCTCTCTCTCTTTCCTCTCCCCGCTCTCTCCCTCTTCTCCCCCGCTCTCTCTCTCGTCTCCCCTCTCTCTCTTTCCTCTCCCCGCTCTCTCTTTCGTCTCCCCCGCTCTCTCCCTCTTCTCCCCCGCTCTCTCTCTCGTCTCCCCTCTCTCTCTTTCCTCTCCCCGCTCTCTCTTTCGTCTACCCCGCTCTCGTCTCCCCCACTCTCTCTCTCGTCTCCCCTCTCTCTCTTTCCTCTCCCCGCTCTCTCCCTCTTCTCCCCCGCTCTCTCTCTCGTCTCCCCTCTCTCTCTTTCCTCTCCCCGCTCTCTCTTTCGTCTACCCCGCTCTCGTCTCCCCCACTCTCTCTCTCGTCTCCCCTCTCTCTCTTTCCTCTCCCCGCTCTCTCCCTCTTCTCCCCCGCTCTCTCTCTCGTCTCCCCTCTCTCTCTTTCCTCTCCCCGCTCTCTCTTTCCTCTCCCCGCTCTCTCTCTCGTCTCCCCCGCTCTCTCTCTCGTCTCCCCTCTCTCTCTTTCCTCTCCCCGCTCTCTCTTTCGTCTACCCCGCTCTCTCCCTCTTCTCCCCCGCTCTCTCTCTCGTCTCCCCTCTCTCTCTTTCCTCTCCCCGCTCTCTCTTTAGTCTACCCCGCTCTCGTCTCCCCCACTCTCTCTCTCGTCTCCCCCGCTCTCTCTCTCGTCTCCCCCGCTCTCTCTCTCGTCTCCCCCGCTCTTTCTCTCGTCTCCCCCGCTCTCTCTCTCTTCTCCCCCGCTCTCTCTCGTCTCCCCCACTCTCTCTCTCTTCTCCCCCGCTCTCTCTCTCGTCTCCCCCGCTCTCTCTCTCTTCTCCCCCGCTCTCTCTCGTCTCCCCCACTCTCTCTCTCGTCTCCCCCGCTCTCTTTCCTCTCCCCGCTCTCTCTTTAGTCTACCCCGCTCTTGTCTCCCCCACTCTCTCTCTCGTCTCCCCCGCTCTCTCTCTCGTCTCCCCCGCTCTCTCTCTCGTCTCCCCCGCTCTTTCTCTCGTCTCCCCCGCTCTCTCTCTCTTCTCCCCCGCTCTCTCTCGTCTCCCCCACTCTCTCTCTCTTCTCCCCCGCTCTCTCTCTCGTCTCCCCCGCTCTCTCTCTCTTCTCCCCCGCTCTCTCTCGTCTCCCCCACTCTCTCTCTCTCTTCTCCCCCGCTCTCTCTCTCTCTCTCCCCCGCTCTCTCTCTCTTCTCCCCCGCTCTCTCTCGTCTCCCCCACTCTCTCTCTCGTCTCCCCCGCTCTCTCTCTCGTCTCCCCCGCTCTCTCTCTCGTCTCCCCCGCTCTCTCTCTCTTCTCCCCCGCTCTCTCTCGTCTCCCCCACTCTCTCTCTCGTCTCCCCCGCTCTCTCTCTCGTCTCCCTCTCTCTCTCGTCTCTCTCTCTCTCGTCTCCCCCTCTCTCTCTCGTCTCCCCCGCTCTCTCTCTCGTCTCCCCCGCTCTCTCTCTTGTCTAACAAACACAAGACAAAGGCTTTTCCAACATGTTACTGTCCAGGTGATGGCGGGAGGCCTGGAGGTCGCAGAGACTTTAGCGGAGGCTGGAGGTCGCAGAGACTTTAGCGGAGGCTGGAGGTCGCATATAAGATTCACATTAGAACACATTCTGACAAACGTTATATTGATAAGACCGAAACAAAATTATGCATTTCAGAAGACAAGTAATCAGAGGTGACAAGTATTTAGTAAGAATGTTTACTACTGTCAGACAAAGCTGATTGAAAGATGTGACAGAGGCAAAAGATACATTGAACTAGTGATACAAGCAACTGTTTGAAAGACAGAAACCAAATATGAACTCATGTGCAAACAAAATATACAAATATCGATAACAATAATAACAATATCCAGCAATATACAATATACAAATGAACATTACACTACACATTTTTCAACTTAATTGACTATATTTGATCAGTTATGTAACAAATGTTGCATTAGGCCATCTCGGACTTCCTTGCCTCCCTCCTCTGTGTCCTGTGCCATTAACCCAGCTGGTTGAGTTGCCTCTGCAGGGCCTGGTGCATCCCACTCTACCTGGTACTGCTCTCCGTGGGTCTCAGAGGTCTCCACCATAGATTTTACCAACTCAACATCACAGTCATTTATTTTGAGTAGACAGCGCCACCTACCCTTAAAGTGGACATATCGTGTTTTCAAATAATTGATTTTTACATCTAAATCATTAGTTTGTGGTCTATATAAAGCGTAACTGCAATGCCTGGGTCTGAGTCTCATTATTTGTAGCTCCACGGGCCTTTCTTCTACACCTGTTCTGAGGTGCGTCTGAGAGCAACCTGTTTTGGTGCTGTCTCTTTAAATGCAAATGAGGCGCTTTTGACCACGCCCCCATTCAGGTGACACAGGTTCAACTCCACCCCGAGCGGCCATTTTTGTAGTTTCTAAGGACAGATACAATTATCTCATAGAAACTTCTCATTACATCGCAAACATGAAGCAGTCCTTCCTCATTGACTGAAAGCAAATGTTTCATTCTTACTCCAGTCTTATTATCGACTCTTCTCTTTTTAGCTTTGGGATCCATGCGCACAGTTTATGATGCTCACCCGGTTTATTTACAACAGCGGCCGCCTGGCACGGGCCTACGTCGCAGGATATGATACACTACGTTGACAGAAATGTTTACATTGAATATTACTTATGCATAATTTTACAGCATTTAAAAACGTTAAGAACGTTTTTCCTTCTACAGAAGGAAAGAGACGCATGCGCCTCCGGAGCCGCAGGTTGCCGACTCCTAGTTTATACAGTATTTGGAAGCAAATACTGAGGATCAAGATATGTGCAGTTTCAACAATAAAATAAAATGCAATAGTCTACATTAAAGAGAGTAATAAACATGTCTCAGAGTGAGGGAGGTGGACACAGACAACACTATTGTTTGTTACAGGGATGAGAATTGGTCAAAAAAGACTGAAATGCATATTGTCAGCCATTTGCTGGCTCTAAATCTGTTTAATTTGTTCACAACATATTACTTTTGGGCTCAAACATCAACCTTTAATGCAATGCAAAATGTAGGTATCAGAGCTTTATTTAGGGCGTTTAATCGCGCTTCGAGGAGAGAGAGAGAGAGAGAGGAGAGGGGAGACGCGGACTGTTTCCTGCAGCAGTGTATTTATTGGGTGCACAGATTACTCAAAGACACGCATGGTCCTGTGCGCGTTTATGGGGTTGGGTACATGGTCACGTTGAGGCTGCGCGCTCAGCCACAACACGGTGGAGAGGTTGCGAGCGGCTGGACGCTCACAGCCTCTCGCAGCCGCTGGACGCGGAAGCTGCTCATTACAAAGCAGCCGCAGATGCCCCGGAACACTGCGGCCGCTGAGGTGGCGGAATCCCGTTCGAGTACATACAGCAGGTGCCCCGCGGATACGCGCGCCCCGCTCGACCAATTCTCAACGGATTTACACTTCTCATAAACATGTGTTTTGTATGAGGCAGACAGACCGGCCCAAATATGGGCATCGGCCCTTTGGGCATTTCCCGGTACGCCCGATGGCCAGTCCAGCCCTGTGCGCTGGCATCCTTGAGCTTGGACTACAAATTCGAAGTGATGCACAGTAGAGGAGGGCTGGGCCGAAGTGTTTTG